CAGCTTCCTCCAAATCCTCCAGTTTTTGCATTCATTCATGAGGTTTTAAAGGTTTCTTCCAATAACTAAAAAAAAGATATCACTTCCTATTATACCACCGTTCTTTATAAAAAAAACATTAACAATGTAATGAAAATTAGCTTTTATTTATATTAATGAAGTAATCTAACCTCAAATTCTTTGTAATGAAATAATTTACCATGTGTGTAAAATGATTGGATTAAAAACATAAATAAACCTCCCACCTCCATGCTGCACTTCTTCGCCAAAATGACAAACATACTCTCTAAAAATGAAATAGTTAAAATTCTACTATTTGAATTGGTACCAGCATTTTTTAATAATAAAATAGTCGTTTTCACTTATAAATAGTTATCTTTTACTACGTAAATAGTTAAAGTTAAATTTCTTTAATCGCGATTAAAGAAATTTAACTTTAACTATTTACGTTTGCGGCCAACAACAAAGTATTATTTGAATTAAATGCATATACCTAAGCTCCATGGTTAAATAACCTATAAAAACAAATAAAGATGCAAAAAGTTTAGCTCAAAACAGCAACACAGATAATATATTCAACTTTAAAATATTATGAACAATATTTATTGACAAATAAAATTGATTTTTATAAGAGCGGCTGATAGCCGAATGGGTTATGACAACAGCTTGATAAGCTTGAGAAGTGACAGACCTGAGTTCAATACCAGGCTGGGTAAAAACTTTTTTTAAATTTAAATCTACTAATTTGACTATTTCATTCAGTATAATTTAACTAATTATTAGTGACTGCTTTTTCGCTTTGACAATTAGTCAAATATGACTTATAATTAGTTATTTTTAAATAATTCATTTGAAGAGAGTAGGCAAATAATATTTTACACAGAGCCAAAAGGCAATGGCGATGTTAGGTGAGGCTGGGTAAAAACTTTTTTTAAATTTAAATCTACTAATTTGACTATTTCATTCAGTAGAATTTGACTAATTATTAGTGACTGCTTTTTCGCTTTGACAATTAGTCAAATATGACTTATAATTAGTTATTTTTAAATATTTCATTTTAAGAGAGTGGTTAAATATATATAAGAATATGCTCAAAAGGCGCTATCTTTATAAAAACTGAAAAATGAAGTTAAATAGTATTTTATATTTTTTAGCCTTACTAAACCTTATTTTTCTGGACCAAATACACTGCTACATCAGAGTATACGAGTATATTATCTGGGTTAATTTTTTAGCCTTACTAAACCTTATTTTTCTGGACAAAATACACTGCTACATCAGAGTATAAGAGTATATTATAATAAAACTCAACTTTTATCGTAATCAATTATTTAAAAATAACATTGTGGCAGAATTTTGTTAATTTTAGTTAAATCCTGTTTATAATTGCTAAATTCTTCTCTCACTACGACGCGTCGTCAGGGTGCGACATCTGCATGCATTTTATGCATATTTTATTTTATAAAATATGCAAGTGCGCAGTATTTTTTTTTCTTTTCAGTTACCGAGTAGAAACTAATTTTCATTTTTTTTTATCTTTTTGCTTCCAGATTAGAGTCAATAAATTTATTTAATAACTTAGCGACTGTTTTTAAGTGCCAGGAATTTTATGCTAACAAAATACCTTTCTTAATTTTTCGCGGGTCTCATTAAATCCCCACCATTTCTCACAAATAAGTAGTGGAGGGGCTCTATAACTTTAATTTGATGAATTTTAGACTCGTGGCAGTCCAAGTTGAAAAGACTTCACTGTACTTGGCCGCTCCATGAGCATTAGGAATAGCATCATATTACATAAAATATATCGGCCTTCTCTATCACAAGACTGTAGGAAAAAGTTGCTTTATTGTTATTATTTTAAAATTACTTTGGCTAATCTTCAGGCCGCAAAGAAAGGGTTGGTAGGTTCAGTATTGCTGCTAGGTACTAGAGTCTAGTGGGAGTAAAAAAATTAACTTGTAAGTTATACCCTGTTTTTTTTTTTTAATTTGCTTTTATTTTAAACCAAATCCTCTTTCTTTATATTTCATATCGTTTACTTAAATTTTTTCACAGCCTACACAGGTAAATTAAATTTGCAGGAACATAATCGACATATACCATGTCCACTTTTATAAAATAGCAAAATAAGCAATAAAAAGATATTTTCAATAAAAATTGCTAAAATTTAATTTTTCAATCTACAAAGTGTTTCATCCTTTTCATTCTTTATGTTACACGCTGTATTTTTAATTACTTCTAAATTTAAATTAAAAATAATAAAATATGAGGAAAAAAATAAAAAATAGTTTTTTGAGTAATACATTTATATAATAATTATTAAAGTTCTTTGATAACAATTTTGCTGTAAAATATAAACAATATTTATGTGTAACCATAGGGGGCATTTATTGAAATACCAGGACTTAATGCCAAATTTATAATTCTTAGCAGTTACGGTTAAAGAGAAACGGGCCATTTTGTTAAAATTTTATGTTTATTATCTTTTACAACGTTAAACTGCATTATTTTACCCTTCAATTAGTGTTTTTTCGTTGACCAATTTCCTTCTCAAAAAGTTTTTAACGGATCCGTTTATTCTATTCCGATCTATTTTTAAGGAACAACATTTAATGATCGCCTCGAAGCAACTTTCCTTTAAATTTCGATTTTTAGTAGACTAAATTGGACGAAAATAAAGAGGACTTTCCTCCGTTATCTGTTTTCCAATCACCGTGACTTGAGAAAAGCGATTCAAAGGCAACAGAAAAAAAGGTTGTTCTAATTCGATTGGTATTCAATCAATACATTCGAAGGTACATCTATCGGTGCTCCTTTACCCACTTTCGGTAGCGGCCGCTGGGGCTATATGTTATACTTTACAAATCGTATCCGACTAAAAGTGAGTTTTTCGGCCGTCGATGTTCGGTTTGTTTAAGACCTTCGGCCGAAGTATTTATTTGACCTATAATAATTGATATCCTCTTATAATGTGTCATCATGTCCCCCTCCTGGCGAGCCCTTGTGCCTCAAGTTATTATTCCAGATATATACTTAAAATTTCGTTTAGGCTTTCCGTACAATTTTTTATATTTAAAAAATATGTACATTTTTTTTAAACATTTACTATTATTTTTCAAAAAATGGCGAATACGATAAATACGGATAAATATTTTTAGTCAACCAAAAATATAAAAATTTTAATTGTATTATAATTGTTGTTATCAGCGCCCAAAGAATATTATCAAAATTTTATAAAAAAATTGTATCCTAACAAATCATTTACCTAATTTTATACTACAATAAAAAAAAATACAACTCTATAATTGATTTACCGTTTTAACCAATGATAATTTAATATTACTTATCAAGAATCATAAATTTACCTCAAAACTTTAATAAGCACCGATTAGCTAAAAATTGCGTGATGAAATGTAATGAGTAACAAAATCGATTTTCAGGTGTACCACCTGTGTATTTACAGTAAATTGCACAATTTCAAAACATAAAAACAGCAATGTCTATTTTAATTTTTTATGTAAAAATGGATATTAATATAAAACCTTTAATAACGCCAAGAAATCGATAATATAGTCTATGTATTTTCTTTGTATATCGTAAGTAACACTATTCTGTAATGTAACGGATATTTGGTCTTATTTAAAGGTAAGTATGCATGTAAGCATGTTTCTTTTGAATATAAGTCTGACGCCTGTAGACGTTTTTATTTTTCCACTCAATTAATATACACTTGTATAGATTCACAACATCTTATACCTAAATTAAATCACTTTTAATTAATATTGATTATAGTGTCAGTAATATTCCTCAGAATAAACCTTATTGCTTTTGATTGTAAATAAGATCAATAATTTGGCGACATATTTAACAAATCAATTTTCTTGATTAAAAATATATATGGGTAGTTCCACAAGACTCCTTTTAGAGTTTCCATTAATTTTACCATAGAAAAAAGGGACGTTTTTAAAATATTGCAATAATATACACGAAAAGTGTAGTTACAAATACATTATCGATAAAAAGTTTTCGGGCGATTTTCACCTTTTTATTTTTACTTTTATGTTTTCCAAATAAGGTCCTCGAAAAAGTTCTCGCCGGTTTTTATCAAATAATTTAAACAAATTTTATTATTATTTTAACCGTACTTTTTTAAAATTATTTGTTTAAAGCCATTCGTTTTTTAGCGAAAACTTGAACAAAATTGTTTTTACATGCATCTTTTAAAGCGGTAGATGCATTAAAACCTACAATTTTTAAGATGAGTAGAATGAAATTTGATCCAATTTTTTACTTTAGACAAAATATTGAAGTCGTTACTTTAACTAGCCTTCTGCAAATGATTTTAATGTAGAGTTTCTCAGCAATACTCACATGATTTTGGGTGCATATTTGACATTTTAACAGAGAAAACAAGCCACCAGAGATGTGCGTATTCTGAGTCATATTTTGGGAAAACTGGCGAGGTCTTTTTGAGTACAAGTAACCATTGATCACAAAACACTAACCATTGATGCGCGAACACTAATCTACAATGTCAGTTTAAGTGTACCATTTGAAATAATAGGTACAATTTCTAAAAAAACATCACGGGTTACTTTGACTACAGTAAAAGTTAGTTTTTTGTCATCATTGAGTAGTGTCAGGAAGAGTAGTAATCAATATTTTGCACACTAATTTTTATTTTGAATAAAAAATAAGTGAATTACTGTTTTGCCCTTCAATGGTTACTGTTAATAACTTTTTGATTAGTTTTTTAGTCAACACAGTTACAAGGCAAATAAATGGAGAAATGTATATAATATACTGCGATGTTTTAAAAATTAGTTTAACTTAAATTAAATGTCTTCTGGAATCTCCCACATACCTATTAACTTATTTTTTACAAATCATAGTAAACAAGTTTATTAAAGTATAAATCTACGAACTTGATAAACAAATCAACACTTTAACACTGTAGTGTGTAGAGTATTATCCTTATAGGTTTATTTTCTTTGTTTTAGGATAAATAGTGCAAACACAAACACAAATAGAAAAATGCCTTCTTCCGGTGTGGCTGAAGAGGCAGCCCTCTTAGGGTAAGATATTAACACAATACACACTAGTTGCTTATTATTTTTAAAGAGTGTTTTTTAAAATAAATTTTATTTTTTAACAGGAATGTGTTTTAGTTTTTAGGTTTTTAAGCCATAGATAGTAGATATGTTTTTTTTAATGTATTTTTATTTTTAAATATATTTAAAAGTTTGATAACCCTATAGGGTTATCAATTTTTTTGCTGTTTAAACCTTTATTTAAATATAAAAAAGTTGCACATACAATTTCCCAACATGAAACGTTTACTTTTAGGTACCAAAATCCGTAGTAAAGGGATACCAGATATTTCCAGTTTAAATATTATTTTATAAATACCCTTAATTTAATTTGATGGTTCACTTAAAGGTCAGACTTTTAATGTTTTAACTAATGAGGACTTTTGGATTAAATCATCAAATTTTAGGAAAAATTAAATTCGATTTTAAAATTTTTTTTATTTACGATATTTTAAAAAGTTTACAGAAAAAATCATTACTTGTCCCAATAGGTGCGCCGGATTTAATATGTTAATAAAACTTTTACTATTTTTGGGTACTGTTCGTATTCTTAGAGATAAAGGTATTTAGTCCACCTAGGTTCAGATATTAAAACTTAATTTGACTAACTTTGCCACTTAAATTCGTTTGAGAAAATTTCAAAAAAGTTTTGGACCGAAATTGGATTTCATAAATATGTTTGATTTCTTCCTTAAATTGTCTCAGAATGTTCTACATAAACTATACTTGAAAAAGAAAAACAGATAAAGAAGTCAAAAGAAGTAACACTTTTTGACAGACAATGTTTGTTTCAAAGACGAAGAACACACGAAGAATCGAACATAAAATCCTACTGCTTCTGTTTAAAAAACATTCCGAAATTTTCCCATATATATTTGTATTATATAATACAAATTTTTAAAAATTTAAAAACCATATAACAGTTTGTTAAATGGATTTTATGTTAATTAGCAATTATTGTTTCGCTCTATTTGACCTCATCAGTATTGAGTTACTTTATGGTGCGGGACACGAAATTCTAATTCCTCGTCCTTATTTAGGTCTTGGAATCATTCACTGCGCTGAGACGAAAGTAATTGGTACTATCTACAGACTTTCAACGTGGTCTTCTATATGTATGTCATTTTCTGCACTTAAATATAGTGTGCATTAGGTCATATATGGCGTAAAACACGCTATATGTAAGTGCAGAAAATAACATACATTTTGGAGACCATGTTGAAAGACGGTAGATGGCACCAATTACTTTCGTCTCACCGTAGTGAAACTACGACCAATATAAGGACGAGAAATCAGAATTTCCTTTGTCTCGCACCCTATAGGGTTGCTGTATACAGCAACTCGATACTGATGAGCTACAATAGAGCGAAACATCTGTCTATGAATTCTGGTGAGGAACACGAACGAAATTAAATAAAAGCGGATAAGAAATAAGTGCAAGTTATAGTTTTGCCTATAATTCCACAGGCATATATTACATATTGTTAGTATCAACTCCCAATTATTCTTTTAATATAAATTTTCTTTGCCTTATAGCACAATGCCTTCTGACAGCATGGACGACATTGAATTAAAAAACATCCAGCTACAATTCCCATCTGCCCGCTCGCTATCCAGAGACGACTCATCTGCACAAGAAGAAGTAGTGGAAACCGATCGCGGTAATTTAGTGGTTGCTGTACAGGGATCTAGAAATAAACCGGCAATCTTGACCTATCATGACCTTGGGCTTAACTGTAAGTAAAACTAGGAGCATAAACTCCCAACACCCTTAGTTTGGTTTAAAACTTGTAAAAGTTTCAAACGTATAAAGTTGTGATCTTTAGCTTTAAAGGGATACAAAAATCAAAGGCTTAAAATAAATTGTCCATAACCTAATGAAATGCGTTTATTTTAGATGTTTCCAGTTTCCAAGGTTTCTTTAATTACATTGATATGAGGGCATTACTAGAAAATTTCTGTGTATATCATGTTAATGCTCCTGGCCAAGAAGAAGGCGCTCAAACACTTCCAGAAGAGTAAGTACATTTAGAAAAAAATTAATTTACATAATATTATAATGTCTCCACCTAAAAAAGGCAGGCAAAAAATTATAGATAAGATATATCGACCCATGCAACGAAGACTATAGTAACTCAAAAACGTGGATTTTGACTTACTATATGGCATCAACAGATTTTTTCAAGCTCTATTTGGTGGAAGATTACAGTAACTCAGACATAAAACGATAGGCAACCAGTGAACAACTTCCCTGTATAGTAAGTGTAATAATCCACATTCCTACAGGCGAAAACTTTATTAAGTTGAGTTACTCTAGTCTACAATCAAAACTGAGTTACAATAGTCTTCGTTGCATGGGTCGATATATACTTTCTAATAGAAAAATTCAATATTTGGAGTACATAGAGTGCTTATATACGTAGAATATAGTCGGCGCGGAGAATGTTTCAAATTGCGTCATTAATGTCAAATGTCAAAACCGATTTTTCGACATACGGTTAACCTAGCGGTTCCTTTGATTATATACGTAAAAGAAAACAACAATAATTGTAATGTCTCTGCTTGGTTCAGAATTTGATGACGCAATTTGGAACATTCGCCGCGACAACTATAGCCCGCAACATTTAAATTATTTGAATATTATATAATTATATAATATTCCTACTGGGTTTAATATTAAATAACCCCACAATTTGATGTATTTATAATAGAAAACAGAATTACCTTTTTTGATTTATATTTTTGTATGGCCAACTTTCGCATCATTTGTTCACATGCATGTCAACGGACTGGAACTATCTAATTTTATTAAAAGCTTTATAGTAGATCATGTACCAGTCGTACATATCCTTAGTGGTATGTTAAATAGATTGGGTATTTAAATCAAATTACTTTAGGAAATATAAACGTTCCAACAAAAAATATCATTATGAAGATATTTTTTGACTGCGGGCTTATTCTAAACACAAACGATATCTCGTGGAAATTGAAACTAATATATGCAGGAAACTAAAAAAACAAAACAAGAAACATTAAATAATAATAATCCCACCGAAATTTAAATTTCTTTAAATCAGTGTTATCTTTATTATCACATTTAAATATATTAAATGATTATTTGCCAAATATTCATAACATTACTATTTTCCCTGCAACTGAAGAAAGATTACTTAAAATTAAAAAAAAAATGCCAAATAAGAATACATCTGGTAATAATTCTATTCCTAGTTTTTTGTTATGGGATGGTTCAACAATTTTGTATAAACCATTGTGTATCATTATTATTGCTTATTATTAATTTTTAAATTAACGAAGGTCTGTCCTATATTTAAATCCGGTGAACATGGAACATTATCGTCCAGTTTCCATATCTAATTTCTAGAAGGCATTCGAAGTGTGTCTACGAGGAGTTGCGCAATCAATTGATGCTGCTTATGTCTAAGGATCAACATGGGCTTATCTATAATAAAATAAATTGTTTGTTATTTAACAAACAATTTATTTCGGATGCCTTAATGTGTTTGGATTTCACGACATTCTTACTAATCTGTTCAAGTCTTATTTGTTTAACAGAAGACAATTCCTGTTTTACAATAAATATAAATCGAAAATCTATCTGGTATTGTCTGGTGTGCCACAGGGGTCCAATGGGAAAAGCTTTTTTGCAGATGATTTAAAGTTCTACAGTATTATTTTATAATTTTGATCACAGTCGTCAATTGCAGGATGGTTAAGGATTGGTGCATTAAAAATTCTATTTCGTTGAATCTCAAAAAGTATATAGTATGTAAATTTACCTTAAACCAAATAATGAGAAACTCACAAGAACCAATCAGTTTAGAGATCTTGGCGTTATTTTCGATTCTAAACTATCGTTTACTAAATATATAAAAACACTATGTACTTCACCAATGCGTTCTCTAGAGTTTGTTATTAAAAACTAAGAATTTTAATAATATCGAGACCCTCAAAACCCTATATTATAGTTTGGTACGTTCTAAGCTAGAATATGCCAGCTTAATATTTTATCCATATTATAATATCCATAAAATGCAGATCAAAAAGAGATGATTTGTAAATTACTTCATCATTTATGGTGGATGGTACTTATCCCGTTAGGAAAACGGTCAGCAATTACTATTGTCCCGATTTAATTTGGATTCTTTAGTCAACTGTAATTTGTATTTAATAAAGTTTTGTTTAGGTATTGCATAACCCCACTGATTTTCCTGATTAATTATAAAACCTATCACTCCATATACCTCGTATAAATTCTCGTTCTAACTACACATTTTGTGTTTAGTTTTCACGAATGTGGGTATGAATTCTCCAATTAATGTTATGGCTCGTAACTTCAACATTTCCGGCTTATGTGACATTTACAATTGTTCCTTAAGAGAACTTACTAGTTTTTGTTTTAGTTGTTTAGGAATTACATTATATCATTTTTCTTAGTTTTATATTGTATATATTATTGTTCTGTAATTGGATTATTTTAGTTAAAATAATAATAATAAACCTATTATTACTATGATTATTTTATTAGCACGAACAATATTTAGAATTATTTAAAAAGCATATTTTAAAATTTTAAGACTATTTTATAGAGATACAAAGGGCCGGTTTATCAGTGTCCAATTAAAATTGCAGTTCGTTATCTGGTAGATAATTTCCATGAATATCATTGTTCTCACAACGAAATTAAGCTGTCAGATAGACTAACTGGAACTTCACAAAAGGTTGAAAAGTTTTTGTTTAACCAAATAGACTCGTGAGGAACAACCCTTGGCTTTTTAGAAAAATCGTATTTTTCCTTTGGTGTTTATATAAATCTTACATTAAAATTATAATTATAATTGTTTGCTTTTAGTTAATATAGGGTGTTCCGCGGAATATAAAATCCACACCAACTAACACTAACTGATTTCCTAAAGGATGACCTTTAGCACAAGCAGTCTCATTTAAAGTTATTTCAAATTAAAAAATAAAATGTGCCCAGGGATTAGTGATGGAAAAAACGGTTCCCAATCCGGAACGTACCAAACCGTTCCGTTCCTAAAAAATCGCGTACCAAAATCACGTGATTTCGGAACGTATACGTTACCCTGTAGGGTAAATGATTTCACAATACATGCGAGTGGAATCCACGACACGACGTTGCTGGGCTACATTTTGTCTGGCGCGCCTCTCAGTTCTGTTGACCACACCATAACAAATTTAATACCAAAATTAAATATTGTAACTTTTGCAATACACTATAAGGTATTATTGCACAATATGTTGTATTAAACAATTTAGTTAACATTGTGTTGACAATATTGCCTAATTTAATTATATTGTCTGATTGCCTAGGGACAATAATCAATTTTTTGTGCAGTAATATTGAGCAAAATATTTTTTAAACGTCTAGGGACCCCTTTAATACACAAAAACCTGTTGATTCCTTGAATGTTTTGTCTATCTCTAATAGATAGATTCTCTAGTAAGAAAAAACCTTCTTAGTAACTTTTGGTATTATAGTTTAATAATTGTACAATATTAGGTATATTGGATTCCATCTACCCTACCTAACAAACTTAATTTTTTATGCACCGTTCCAGCGGAACGATTCCACCCGCCTCGTTATATTGGTTATATGCACCGATAAAGTTCAGCTCAAGTCGGCGCGCCATAAAAGTCGAACAAAAAACGAAACGAGGTAACTGCGCCTTTAAACAGTTCCGACGTTAGCGACGTTCGTTCTGTTCCATGTTTCACGTCGTTCCCTTCCCACTCGCTCCGTTCACTCCTTTATCTAATCTATGGTTCACTCATTCGATGGTCGGATTCTCTGTTTCCATTCAGTTCGTTCCGCTGTCACATCGTTCCGATATATTTAGGAACGTTCCGGAAAGTGATTTAAAAATAACGTTCCAAAATCACGTTATCAAAATCACGACCCATCACTACCAGGGATACCCTGTCATTAGTATAATTTCACTATCATATATATAACAGTTTTTAAAATTATGACTAAACGTGACTAAAGCTTGGCTAACTTTTATTTCGACTTTTATTAATTACAGCACTTTAATGAGAACTTTCTTGTTTTTATATCTAAGTAGGCTTCTTAAAACTCCTGCTAATAAACCTTTTCTCTACGTTTTAGTTATATTTATCCCACAGCGGACGAGCTGGCAAATCAACTAAGCTATGTTTTGTCACACTTCGGACTGAAATCCTTTATAGGGTTTGGAGTCGGAGCCGGAGCGAACATATTGGCCCGGTTCGCATTGAACCATCCGGAACATGTCTCTGCTTTGTGCCTCGTGAATTGCGTAAGCACTCAATCTGGTTGGATTGAATGGGGGTACCAAAAATTAAACGCTCGGCATCTTCGGGCCAAGGGAATGACGCAGGGAGTACTAGATTATCTTATGTGGCATCACTTTGGAAGAGTAAGTCAAAAATATGTTTAATTGTTCATTTAACAAAATAAAATAAAACAAACATTAAAAATAAAAAGACAATTTATTTAAAATTTCAAGGTAATGGTAGCTGACTCTAGAGTCAACTGAAAAACACATTTAAAAAGTTTCACTAAGGTTGCCTGATTGGTGTTCATTTTCTTAATGTTTATTTTAATAAAATTTAATGCAAATCTATAAGATGTTCTAAAATAAAATCTATTGTAATTACATTCTATTTTAGAACACAGAAGATAGAAATCACGATTTAGTGCAAGTGTACAAAAGTTACTTTGAGCGTAACGTGAATCCCACCAATTTGGCATTGTTCATCGATAGTTATGTGAGAAGAAACGATCTTAATATTCACAGAGAAATGGACCCGAACAAAAAGAAGAACGCCAGTCTAGCGATGCCTGTGATTAACATTACAGGATCTCATAGTCCTCATGCCGACGATACCGTTACATTTAACGGCCGTTTGGACCCCACAAACTCATCGTGGATGAAGGTAAGAATATATTTTAAACGAATTATTAATTATTTTATTAGTTACCTACTAAATTATTCGATTTGGATGTAACGATAATTGTAATTTGTTTTTTTATGAACTTAAGTAAGTCTTCCATTGACCGAAAAATGGGGGTTAAAAAATAACAATTATTTCTGTTTACAAAAATTAAAACAATAATTTTTATTAAGATTTTCCTTCAATAAAAAATATAAATAACAAAAAATAATAGAAAGTGGTTACCTACTTGTTATACTACAGGTAATGCAGGCTATTAGGCAGGCGAGAGATGTAAATTATCCTAGTGAATAATGCGCAATATCTCAAGTGTAATACTATGCTTTTTCAACTCCAAGCAAGTAATTTTCATCAATAAGTATGAGCATAAAAGTTGACCCCATTGACTTATCTTTCTCGAGCCCTTCTGGAGCAACCGTTACCCTACGCCGTTTTTTTTCGCCACCAGCAACTGCGCAGCTTCACCTGTGTTTGCTGAGTGCAAATGTCCACTGCGTCCAATACTGTACCCTATTTGGGGCTCGTCAGCGGCATGTCAATAGTTTGCTATACGCCCAGTAGGATCATAAAGGAGGTCGGGAGGGGTGGAATAGACCCTTTGGTATTTAGGGGGTAATTACGTGTAATGTAATCTGTCTACGACGTGGAATCTCCCTTAACCGGGACGATGGTATTACTTTAAACGTTTCGGATTTCAGTTAATTCGCTGTAGGGGACTATCTCTTCTAGTCGTAGTCTACTTCTTGTCCTTCGTTGTCATTGTCTGTGTCCACGACGGATATTTCCTGAATTTGGAATATTGTTTCAGTCATTTGTTAGTTGATCCAAACTATTCCGGTTGAATTGTTTTTCAGGTGAAAGTAGCGCAGACCCCCCAGTCCTGGGAGCTACGACAAGTATCCGGGGCTTATGTTTGAGCTGGGGAGTTGTTATTGAGCTGTGGGGGACTAGCCCTTACTAGTCTATGTTGCATCTTGGTCATCTGTTTCCCTTTCTCCGTCTGCGTCCGATTATTCAAAATAAGCTGCTAGCTTCAAGATTCAGCTACGCTTACCAAATACTGACTTCAACAAGTTGTTGTTTTACTAGGCTGAAACAAATAGAAAACAGATACAAACAATATTTTGCCTCACTATGCTAAATCCGTTGAATTATCAACCAAACCCCAAACTAGTCGCCCCAAATAAATATCAAAAAATCTGATATCTGTTGGACAGTTCCAACCTCCTAAATGTTCTAACCTCCTGATTGATTTAAATCACAAACATTTGGGATTACTGTATGGAGTTCGGGAGTTGTTATTTTGCTGCAGAAGCCTACGTCTTGGTCTACGTTTTTGTCGTTATTGTTCGTGTCCAAGTAGGATTGCTCCTGCACTTGTGTCCTGTCAGTCTTGAGGCGGAAAACCATCAATAGATAGTTCAGTAGCTGGATATGTAACTTGTAGCTTTTGGTGTTTTTTTTTTTAATTGTTTATTGCCGCAGTAGTGCGAACTTTCTAACAATTTTTTTTAGTTATTGTGTTGCCCAAGCACGTTTTGCGGTAGAGTTTTGTCTTTTTATCTTAAATTCCAAAATTAAGTATTGCATTTATTTATTAGTTAAACAAATGATAAGCGCAATTATTCTGTCATCTAATGTTTACAAATCCAATAGAGTTTGATTATTATACTTTTTTTTTACTATGTAAGGGTTATATGATTTATGTGTTAGTTTATTCTGTGTGTCTAATGTTTATTATTGGTCTCGTTTGGGTTTGCCTTACGCATTTGTTGTTGACAGATTTATTGTCCTACGCAGTGTGCCTCACTTAGGGTTTTAAAGATATCTGTCGTGTTTAATTTGCAGATTATGTGTTAGGTCATGCATATGCTTAAAGTTACTTATCAATTTTTTTTTGCGGATGGCCACCTCCCCTCTTGTTTGACCTTCTTTGTTTGTCCAGTAAAAAGCGTCCAATGACAGGTGGCATACATATAGGACCAGAAGCAGAAACCCGTCACTTAACTCATTCATATCACTTAACACTTCACTCCTTATTGACCGTTACACCATTTTAGTTTGCACTTTATGAAAATTTTTTGTTTCACTATAATTGGTTTGCACTTTTTAAAAAATTATTGTTGGTTTTAATCTTTAAACTTTTACATTTTAAGAGCTCTCGCTACATTGCGTCGTTCCATCTCAAGTGCTGGAACCTGACTGTTGTTTTTAGCAATTAAACTTGTAGTGTACTTTATTATTTTAAAATTTCAATAAAATCAATATCAATTGACAAAATTTCCGCTCCTAGCATTTGTGCGACATCATAAATAAATTCTGTTAACAGTAATATATTGAAATATTGTGAAACTTCCCCATTACGAACATAACTTTAATTATTTCCTTAAGTCAAATTTTATTGCTGCTTCCTTTAGATTCGAGTTGGGAGAGTTTCTTTTTATCTAAAATAAATAAATAATTGTGTAGAATTTAAATTTTCTTATAAGATGTTGACCACCCTACTGGAAATAAAAAAAATATTTGTCAGTTTATATTTTAAAAAACTATTATAACCTTAATCCCTAAACCCTTAATTATCTCGTAATATCTATATTTACGTTTTTTGCAATAGATTTCAGATTGCGGAATGGTTTTGGAAGAGCAGCCCGGTAAAGTTAGCGAAGCCTTCAGATTATTCCTACAAGGCGAGGGATACGGTAAGTAATGCATCCAACACAGTTTTATTTTGTTACTATACATAACTTACTTAAATACAATAAATGCAAGACTTGGCCTTTACGTAATAAGTAAACGCTACGGATTCGTTAATCTCTTCCAAATTTTATTGTAAACTAATTTGTAATGTTTATTGACTGTTGCTAAAGTAAGAAGGATTTACCGACTATTTTGTATGTATTGGTCTGATTTTGGCTTTCAGGGTACAAATTTACATGTTCCTAGTTTTAGAGAAACATTTAAGCTTTTTTAAAGTTGACCACTATGTTTAGAGGCCTCATCTTTTATATTAACGTCTATCATGAAGAAAAAATACTTCTATCACTGCCCATATTTATGTATCCTCGAACTGCTACAGTCTGTCAATCTATACAAAATGGTAATCTGTTAATAAAAATATAAGTATTGTATTGTATTGCCGCTTGGTTTGGTGTTAAACCAAGTTTTGCCACATACAAATACACGCTCCTCTCACTGCTTAGCAATCTGAAGTAGTTTTGAAATAATTAATTATTATAACAATCATTTTGTAGACTCTTTCTAAATAAGTGCACACTTTATTTTATAGTTGTCTAAAAACTAAAAGTATGTTTATCCAAGTGTTGTTGATGATAAAACAAAAATTATCCTTTATTTTATCCCTCCAAAATATTTTTAATACCAAGAAATACCTCTGATTTAAACTGACAAAGGATAACTTTTGTTTGCAAGAGTCTTTTAAAAAGTCGTTTTTATGTCGACGACTATTCAGCAAAACACTATCACACACTGAGTTATTTTTTATTTTTACATTGTTTGCGTTGGTTGGACGTGCGCGAATGGTATGTATTGTTTAAAATAATATGTGTTTTCATCCTATTCAAAACAAAAGCAAGTTCAGTAAAATTGTACCCGAAAATAGAACCTGTGCTGGAAAAATATTAGATAGTCTTAAATGCTTAGTTCATATAATAAAGTGCTTTAAAACGTATTTTACGAATGTTATTGTACTGCAAAATATATTGCATAATGCCAACGTTTTAAGTAAAAATAAGGTTTATTGCATTATAAATAAAATACACTTTTGTTTAAAAGAATACGTTTTTAATTCATTTAAATAAGAACTAAAAGTACAAATGCTTAAAGATGTGCAAAAACTTAATTTTTACAAGATAAATAAAGTTTTTATAACTATATATACTATTAAAGCTTTTTGTGGTGTTTTATGAACTGTATTCTATAAAATAAACGGTTTTAAACGTAATATTTTTCTTCACAGTTTTTGTTTTCATTTAACCCCCAAAATAGATTTAGATACTTCTCACCAGTTATGCGCAAGCAATAGATTTTTTTAATTTGTTTTGTTTTATTTTTCAGCCATACATTTCAAGCGCCCCACTCCCTGCTAAACTAGATGCGATTAAATATTAATTAAAAGCATATTACCACAGAATCAAACATGGACTATAAATGCACCGGGTATATCGATGTTATGTACAATTTTAGATTAAGTCAAATACTAATCTATACGTACCAATATACTAACAAGATTTACCAGAATGAACTGAAATATTGTTGTGATCAAAGTATTATTGCTTATTGTCTAAAAATTGGGTAAAAATAAATTTTATTGGAATTTTGTATTTTTCATATTTTTAAATAATATTTCTTCTTACTTTGACTAACACTTACCTTAAGGTTTTATGCTTTTAAAGGTATTTAATAAAAAATGTTTTGTACATGATAACACGCTAATTTTTTTAATTTGCAATGTATCTATATTTAAAGGTCATTTTATAGTAAAACAATATTTATTATAATAAATTATTATCTTTGTTACCTAAAAAATAAATTATTAATTAGAAAAAATGGCGAATGCACCGGGGCTAAAATAACACATCGTTATTTATTCATTATAATTCTTAATACGTATTAATTAAATTATAATAATTGAATAGGTAAGTGAAAGAAGGATTTACGTCTATAAAATATTTTTTCTAAAAACGAAATAATCAATAATAATATTGATTTTATTTCTAAACGTCTAAGTCGCATTGTTATTTTTTCGATATAATTCGCTTTTTACCTTCTTATTTAAAAAAAATTACGTGGACCTTCCAATCACTAATTCAATTATAATAATTATTAACAAATTCTAGTATAAATATGATTTTAAGTAAAATAAATACGTTTGTATTTTAAATAAAATGCACATATATGGCATACTTATATATTATATATAATATATTATATTATATGCATCCAAAAATATAAAATAAGCAACAAATATAATGTACCATCCCTAAAATTAGGCTATGCCATTTTTAAATTGACCATACATATTCTTATTATACTTCTACTTGTATACAAGTATTTTTCTACTACCATTTTGAAATGGCTTGTTTTACAAATTTTAAAACGTCATTTGTATAAAATTAAACTATTACCTGCATAGGTACCTACAACAAATTTATAAAATAACTTTTTGTTATTTATGATTTGTAAAAAAAAATTAATTTTTTTGTTGTAATCTATTTCCAAATATTTTACTATTTTTTAAGGTTTTTTTTAAATACTTATAATATATTAGTACAAAATATGCCATAAATTATCACAATTTATTCATATATGCATTTATAACTATAAAAAATACATTATTAAGTATTTTTGTTTTTAACATTATACAGGGTGTCCCGAAAATGTTGGAAGAAAATGTAATAGTAAATAAAGTAAGTTACAAAATAGTTATTGATTAATATCTTTTAAACACTAAAAGATAAAAATAATAAATAATATTTGGCTATGGCTTTATTTGGTAATGCCCTATTAAAACATTGAATTTGTAGGTTAATCAGTGGCGTAAATACGGATATTGCTATAGGGTTTTCTTAAAAAAAAAATATGATTGGTCCGGCGCTGACAAAAATATTTGTTTGATATTTTTTTAAATTGCTATTATTTTTAACAAAATTTTCCTTCTATATGTTCCATTTGCCAGTAATTAAACCTTATCTAAATACCAGTTTTTCCACAGCCTACACAGGTAAACTAAGATAACAGGGACATAATCTAGTAAGCTACTCTCTAAAAGTGAAACAGTGAAATTTTCACTATTTCCGTCAGTGAGTTATTATTCACTGTAAAATTAGTGGTTTTCAATATAAATTACTAATTAATTAGTGAAATTTTAACTTCTCCAAATTAGTATTTTTTATTATCACTACTTTTTCGGAACTCTCTACCTATTTCACTAATTTGTACAGTGTAATTTCCACTAAATAAATTAGTGCAAAGAAATCGCTGCATGAAAAAGTGAGTATTCACTAATTGCTAGTGGTATACTTATCACTGCGGCAAATAGTTAATATGCACTGTCAATCAGTGAAAATCCACTGTTTTATTTTTAGAGAGTATGGTCCAGTTTTAAAAAATGCCAAAATAAGCATTGAAAAGATATTTAAAAATAGCACGCTGGTTAAATTTTACAATAGAAAAAGATTAACAATGCTGTATTTTCGTGGAACAATATTTTATGTTACCCGGTATAATATTAAAAACATTTTTTTTTAATAATTTATTTCCTTTAGTATATCTAATACCAAATTTATTTGGCTAATTTATCTTTTTTCAGAAAAAGAAATAAAGAACATCTTAAAAAGTATTCAAACTATTAACAAGCATGTCAAATAATCTATATTTGGAAAGAATAATTTTTTATGAGCTCTGCATTTTTGTATTTTTCTTTAAAAAAATTATTAGTTTAATCATCATCAATATAACAAAATAGTTTCGAGGTATTTAATTATAAGAAAATAGCACCAAGGTGACAAACATTTACTAGACTTGCCATTTAAAGAATTTATTAAAAACAAGGATATGGCCTATGGCATATATTGTATTTTTTTGTTTGATTTATATTAGGTAAAATTGTAGTTGTATAAATATTTTTCTAATAATCATATTTATACAGACAAATATTCTTCAAATAACTCGTTAAACTATATTTTTCTCAGTAAGAAATATACGAGTAGATAAATTAATTAAATCTGTCGTTTTACCATACAAATAAAATATCTATTTCTTTAAAAGAAATACTAACTTTTTAGTAATAATAACCTAACGCACTTTCGCTATATACAAAATGACCTTTAAGCTTTGTGAATGACCAATAATAGCTGGTTAGCAGTAGCTGGGGTGCGCCATATCATTTTTGGTGGATGTTATCAAGGTGTGTCATGTTGTTTTAGCCATACAAGTGGGTCGACGGGCCAGTAGCTGCGTGTCAGTTGAAGGTAAAACTTTTTAAGACTGGCCTGTCTCTGACAATAAGGCAATCGCATTCTTCCATGTAAGTTTCGTTTTACTAAAAAAAAAAACAATGACTAAAACCCAAACAACTATTTCACATATTTTTACTAACAACATTGACACAGTATGGAGTTAGATGTTGCTGTTTTGTTGTCATGTGTATTTCATTAGGTTCCTATGTACGATTGTAAAATTCCATAACATATTTTGTTTGGTTTTGTTTATTCATTTGGTGGTAAATTAAATATATAAAAGTAACTTTTTCTTCTACCGTTCTATACATATATATTGTGTGTATATTAGGGTAGTCCTTAATAGGGTTGTTTTTAAATTGTTATCCTAGCAGGGGCTTAAACGCTTTCAAAATGATAAAAAATTCCCTTATTATTTGAGCTCTTTATATCAACTCTAAGATAGTCCTCTAGACATTGAGGTTGTATAGATCTGACGGATCGAATTTTTTGATTATTCCAAACGCAGTAAATAATGAATAAAGTAGTTTGCAACTACCGGATTGGTCAAAATTATTCATAATTTTAGTGTCGAGTGTTGAGTAATTGAAACCTATACCGATTGAAGATAAACTGATTTATTTTGAGTTTGTGATAAAAAGTCCTAAACATGTTACTATTGATCAATATGTAGATCCTTACCTCTTTGAATAGTTTTTGTAAAATATGAAAAAGCCAATTTCAATTTTCAGACCAACACCTTAGTAAATTAATTAATTTTACCATAATATTTTATTTAAAATAATAACCAATATAAACTTAACCATACAAAAACTTTTTGTGTAATTTTTTATTTTTTTCGTGCTATGAAGTTCTTCTGTAATAATTTTGAGGCAGTAGCCATATTATTAAATGTTTAAATATAATGGAATGTTTTTATATATTAAATTATTTCCTGTTAATGTTTAGATATTTTCAATAAACTAATTATATATTTAATTTACCTAATTTATTTTAATCTTTAAAATAACTTTTTATTTAAATTTTCCAAGGATAAATAAAAGTAATTATTGTATAATTGTCTTAAATTTATTAATTTTTCTTCTTTAATATGTAGTTTGTTATAGGTAATTAAGGCATGATCTACGACTATATTCTGTCTATTATGGGTTATGGATGTATGCCTGATAGTTAAAGTGTTATTACCCAACGGATAGCTTTTAAAGCGTTATGTAGTTCTTACTCTATGCATGTTAGTTTATTTTGTTTTTCCTTTGCAATAACACACTTTAACACAAGTAGATTTTAATATAGGTATACTAACATTTATATTATTAAATATTTAAAATGTTATTACATAGACTTTAAAATAGAGCTATTAGAATCTATTAGAATTAGAATCACTATTATTACCAAAGTAAAAAACAGCTCTATGTCATTTAAACAGTTTAATATTAATACTATAGTTCCTCTTGAATATAAAGTAAATACAATCTTTAGAGCTATTTTCTTTCACTTCTATGAGTTTTTCCATTTTTAAAAAGTCCAGAAAAAATATTTACACAAAAAACAAAACAAAAACACATTTTATCACACATTTATTTGTTGCAACTATGGTTGCTATAATTGTTTATAAACATTTCTAAAAAATGACGTTAAAGTTTTTTAGAAAAAATGAACGATATAAACTTGGACGATTTAAAATGGCGGATACTCAATATAATAGGTGTCCTAAAAATGAAACACCAGGAGTTTTTTTTTTAATTATAAAATAAATAATAAAATCTGGCGAGTAGTTTTCGTGTTACTGAACATTTAAGTTTAAAAATTTTGGCAACGATGTATGCCTGATGAGCTGAAAAATTCCATCCAAAAATGTTTAATCTGGAAATAATTTAAATAAGACAGCTGACATGATTGACAGATGTATTTGTAAGTTTGTGTCAAAAATCTTTTTATTTATCGTCATGACGCGTCATAAAAAAATTGTTTTCTACTGTTAGGGGCCGTCTATAAAGTACGTCACTCATTTTAAGGGGATTTTGGACCCCTTTTCCCTGTCACATACTGTCTCGCTCCTCTCCCCCCAAGATCACACAGCATTTTTTTAATTTTGTTTTTTGTTATAAATTTTATTAATTTTAATAATAATTTTTTGATCAGTACCTACTATACCTGCCGCATATATTCTCCCCATTGTAAATGACCAATAGAATCCAATAAAAAATAAGTAATTGGTTTGAATTGGTTTAAAATGTGTTTTGGAATCACCAATTCATTCCAGTTGAATTCCTATTGGTAATTTCCAATGAAGTCAGCGGCTTGGATTGGGAAATACCAATCCATGCCTATGCTTGTCTCTATTAGCTAAATCCAATAGAAATGCACCTGGAATGAATTGGTAATTCATAGCGCCAAACACATTCAAACCAATTTGAACCAATTTATTTTTTAAAATTTGGATTAAAAATAACAGTTGATTTTTTATTTAAAAATAATTAAGATCCCAGAAGAATAACCGGGTAAAAACCAGAATTCATTTTTCACAGAAGAGACAAAAAAATTATTATAATTGAGTAACTTTATTTCTTAATTATTTTTTTTTGTTAGTGAGATACGTATTTATACATATAACTTACTAACACAAAAAAGTAATAAAAAATAAATAAAATTACTCGGTTATAACCATTTTTTTGTCTTTGTTGCAAATGATGTTTGTAGGCCTGGTCGAAATCAATATTATTTATGGCAAATTTTTTTATTTTGTCCGCTGTAACCACCATTCTCACGCCATCGTCCCTAAACCTTAGACATATAAACATTTTTTTAATATATAAGTACACTACTAACACTAGGCACTTAACACAGAAATCGACTAATAAAAAAACCACTAATAAATGGCGTCCAAAGACTTGTTGTTATTTTTTCTATATGATGGCGTCTCAACCTCGTTGATTTTGCGCAGCTACACGAGAGCCCTCTTGCGATATTTGTATTGTATTGGGAATAACCAATTAGCAGATTTTTCGAATCTTACACTGGGAATGCCCAATTGAATTCAATTAAAAATTACCTATAGGTAGCTTTATCCAATCGAAACCGCTAAAAAACAGTAGAATCCTAATTGGATTTTTCCATATTTTAAAGTATTGGGAATAACCAACTAGTATATTCCTTTTTAGCTTTATCCAATCAAAACCAATAAAAACCATTAGAATCCTAATTGGACTTTTCCATCATGGAAAATACCAGTAAAAACGAATTTCTGTTTTATATCGCGCCCAATTAAATCCAGTGAGTCCAATTCAGACCCATTGATACCAACCAATACTTCAATTGGTTTCTACAGGAATTAATCGGTCATTTACAACAGAGCTAATATCTTCGCAAATTATAAGTAGATGCTTCATCTGTGCGTAGGTCACCAACGCTTTAACCGCAAGGGCCTATTTATAAGTTAAGTTGATCTACACCTCTTTAGTTTATCCGGATGACTTTTATTATGTTACTAATTATTGGTTATCCATTTATACTTAAGTTTATTTGACGAAAAAATTTTCATTACAAAACTCCTTTGGACCTAGGGTTACCAGGAATACCAAATATCATAAATATAAAAATTAACTTGAATATATAAAAGCTTCAAAAAATAAATCGAAGATTGCAATATACCACTTGGTACCTAATAATTTATTAAAAATAACCCCATTGAGAAAAAATAGAATAAATAAATAATAAAAATAATAATAACCAACATTATACGCCGTAGAAAAATATGCTTTTTTCGACAAGTAGTTTTCGGGTTATTGAGAATTTAAATTTGAAAAACTGGGCAACCCGCAAAGTCAAATATTTGTATTTGTTTGGTGTGAAGTAACGCATGATCTTCCACCCCATGTCGTTGACGTACTTTATGGACGGCCCTTTACTTATAAATAAATAATTTTAAAACATAGTAACTTTTATACTTATGGGTGATTGAGTTATTACGCTATTTTAAGGATACACGGTATAGGTATGCACTCATGTCAAACTTTTTTTACTTTTTAGATTAACGTTTAAACTACTGTTTTTAAATTTGAACGATATGACATCGTTGAGCTGTGCATGTTTCCAATGTGACAACATTATAATTTTAGAGAAAGATAAACATTTAAAATAAGCAAAAAAAATATGGAATCTTCTTTTTATTAATTGGCATCTCTAATCAATTTTTAAATTGGAGTCATTTTGAGTATTTAGTATTTACATTTACAAAATTTATCTCATTGGAGGATATTTTAATTAAGCTTAAAGATTTAGTACCAGGGACATTCCACACTAACTGTAAATGCATATTGCCAGGGCCGTATAGAGAAAATTGGGCCCAGGGAGGATACATGTTTTAAAATCTCAAGATGCTTTTTTTTAATAGGGCCCGGGTGAAATCTAAAGTCTCTAGTAACCATTATACTTTCAAATGTGTGTAAAAAAATTAACTAAATTGTCCTGACCGTCAATGTGGAATGCCCCACTATCTATATCTGATATTTAAAAGTCGTTCAAATTTAATAAACTTTTTTTATTATAAAATAGTATAAAAGTATAAAATCGTATGTAATAAAAGTGACTATTTAGGAGTTAACATTTTTATTGAGTTATAATAGGAATTTTTAGTATATTTTATAATTCTCTATGATATTGTTACTAAATGGACATTTGTTTTCAGTGGCTCCGTTGTCACCAACAAAAATGGCGTTGTTCCGCAAAACTTCCCTCGAAGAACTGCTCAAAGCTAAATTCGGTAACGGAGGCCAGTGGCCAACCAACGTTATACACATCACTGAAAATCCGATTTCGGCTGTTGTCTGTTAAGCTGCTCCATGTAGCTGTATTGAAATTTATAGGAGAGATAAAAAAAGTGCAAGGTCTAAATTTTTCTTAATTATAAGTTGCGAACAAATCATAATCTTAGGTATTATATATATTATAACTAAATAATTTTAAAGAATCGGGATCTATACATATACATTAGGGTGTCCGTTATTTTCCACGTTAGATTTTATAACTTGGGTATTATGTAAATTATTTGTTTTCAGTCTTTGGAGTGTAAACAAATAAATTAAATTCAAGTAAAAAAACTCACTTATAAAATTTAGAAAAAAAAGATAATGATAACACATTTTATTTTGGTTTATTTTAAATTTTGACCTTCGATATTAAAATCGAAAAATACATAAAATACGTTTTTTGTAGAGCGAAAAATTTTTACAAAACTATTGTTCTGTATATTATTGCATTTCTATTTATTAGCTTTTTTTCTTATATCATTAAAATGTCATTTATGCAGAGTAAATTACATCGGAATTTTGTTTTTAACAGGTTGTTTTTAGAATATAAACAAATAATTTAGATGATACCGAAGTAATAAAATGGAAAGAACATAAACACCAATATACATACAGAGTACTGTGTAAAGAAAGAAAATAAGATCGAACAAACATTTAGATCTTACAATAAGAGGTTTTAAATCATCCTGTATATCAATAGGTTTTAACGTAACATTTTAATTTAACCTAAATAAATTTCCATATTTTGTTTGCGAAGTGGTTAGCTGTTAATTGTTAAGCTCGAATAATTGTTAAAAATACTAAAATATTCTGTATAAAACCACTTTGCCTTTTTTGATATGTATTTAAAATAAAATAAATTATTAGCTAGCTAGCAAATATAAATTATATTAGGAGATAAAAGATACATATTTTAAATATTCCATATCTTAAAAATAAAAACAGTAACGTAAATTTGACAGTGTTTTATCTAAGTTTAATAATTGGCGACCAAATCTATAATCGAAATGTTACAGTATTTTTAAAGCTGTCAAATTTACGAAAAGCTTTTTTGAAAAATCGACTTTAATATTAAAAGATATTTTTCGGTGATATGTAAGACGATGTGATAAATTTCAATACAGAATTCGTTGGCCACTGCCGTTATTTAAGCACATATCTTTAGTTTTTAGACATATCCAAACATTATTATCCAAGAAAACCTAATTATCGCAAAACTTTAATTATCACAGCAGTTGATACAGCCTAGTAAATTGTTAAACTATAGAAGAGCTTATGTAGTAAATGAACCCCAATATAAGTTTATTTTAGATTATTTATAGGCTGTAGTTGAGCTTTACTCGTTCATATAATGCCTAAAACTAAAACGAAATACGTACTGATATGATTTTATATAGTATTGCATTTTTTTGGCAAATGTTATTCATAATTGTGTTGGATTTTATATTTTTTTTATGAAATGTGATGAATAAAGCGTACTGTGCCTCACTTTGTTAATTTATGTTAAGCACTTAATTTTAATAAAAATGTTCTTAAATGAGTGTTTGTTTTATTGTTATATAATAATAAATTTCTTTTAAGTATTAAGTTATATAAACGCTATTTTAGTTAGGAGTTTAATTAGACACGAGCGAACGAGGGTTTATTAAAACCAAGTGTCTAGAAAAGATTATAAACAAATTGCATACTTTACTTTATCTACGATGAACACAAAATAGCTATTTGTGTATTAAGAGCGCAAAGTGATACATTGCCGCTCTGAGCGAGAGCGGCAATGTCATTTTGCACTCGAATTACCCACAGGATTTTTTCTACAACCTGTTTTTCTATAAGAAAGTTTGGTAAAAATTAATAATTATTGATGACCTCAAATTTTACGTTGGTGTCAAAAGTCGCAAATACACTAAACGTTTCTTTATTATGGTTTCCATGGTAACTAAGCGAGCGACAAAGTAAAAAAACGCTCTCTCCTCGGAAAAGTGCAACTTTGCGCTTTCTTTTGGAAGCGCAAATTTGTACTTTTCGCTTGGTTGTAGAAAATATATAGTATATTATGTATCAAGTTTGATAAACGCTATTGCGCTTTCGAGCGAGTGCTTAATAAATGCTTATAAATATTTAAAAATGATTTAAAATAAATATTTGTATAGAGTAACCAACTTGGAAATCTGTAAAATGTAAAATTTTTATGTGTAAATGGAAATAAATACCCATAACGTTTAATCCGATATAGAAGTTAGAGTTTTTCACATTGAAAGTAATGAAAATGTTTTATTGTCACTCCAGGGCGGAGTCTCCACCCGAAATTAAGTTAAATCTAGTTTACTGCCAACGAAAATAAAAGGTCAGCACAGTGTTCATATAAACTTTACAAATATTGGCGTTGAGAAACTATTCAATATTTTGTATTGAAATAATAAAATAATGTTTACTTTTGGTATTATTTTTTAAGAAGGGCACTTTATTTTAACGATTGTATGACATTTGACAACTATCAACTAGCTTAAAACTAAATTCAGCCTGTGACTAAATCTGTTGCTTACTTTAGCCCTTGTCTAAAACGTCATATGTTAGCTATCAAAGTTACGAAATATTGTCAGAATGAATTGTCAATAGTTTTGTCATTAAAAGTTCAACTTTATATGTGTTTTGTATCTATATAATATATAACACAATATTACTGTTGAAAACCGCGAGGGGTAAACCACTGATTTTTTTAAATTAACAATCGTATACGAATTAACAGCGCGTTGGTACATTTGGCGTTCTCAACTAAAAAAATATATAATCTTCCAAACATTTTTTTTAATAGTGATATTATTAGCTTTACTTTGCAAAAAAAAATAAAATCGTGTATGTACCCGTTGTGGAGATATACACTTTTTTATAAATTAACATTAATAGTAAGCCTAACTAGTATATATATATATATATATATACCTATACATATATATATTTATATATTTATATATATTGATGGTTTTCCACGATCTTCTCCGTGTTGTCGGTTTTTGGTTCTTAAAAGAACCGTATGTCTGACGACGTTTCGGTACAATCTCATGTACCATCTTCAGGTCTTATCTGCTGTGCAGAACATTGATCTCGTTAATTTGCGTGGCGTTTTGGTGGTTGTAATAACTGGTCCATGCACTTGGTAGTCTCTGTGTATCGTCTCTTGTGTTAAGGTTTCTTGGTCCAGTGTTCGATGCTAGCCAAGACCCTTGTTTTTAGTCAATTGCAGCCAAGGAATATGTTTTTTTATTGCTTCAAGACTGCATTAAGATGTTCTTTGCGTCTAACGTTGATACGTCTATTGATCTGTCCCATGTAGCTTCCGTCACAATTCTTACAAGGAATTTCGTACACCCCTTGTGCCTCCAACTCTATTTTTGGTTTGGCGTTTGGAAGTATTTGACCGATCTTTCTTGGGGCGGTAAATGTTGTCTCAATGTTATGTTTTTTGAGAACTTTGCCTATTCTCTTGATTGTCCCTTTCACATAGGGAAGTAAGGCCTTCGAGGTTGGTTTGTTGTTCTCGTCCTCTGTGGTTTTTAACCGGCGTCGTGGTCTAAGAGCCTTTTTGATGATGGTTTTGGAGAATCCGTTTTGCTGTAGCGTCAGCCTTTCGAATCGCGTGACAAGTGTCTTAATGACTGACTGCAGTTGTGACGGGTGTTGGTGAGACTGGGCGTGTGCCCTAGTTTGCCATTATTTTTCTTAATTATGAAGACATCCAGAAAAGGTAATTGGTGTTCTTTCTTGGTTTTCATTGTAAACTTAATCTTTTTGGGAATTCCGTTGAGAAGGTCCAGGAATTTCTTCAGTTCCGCTTTTCCGTGGGTCCAGATGATAAATGTGTCTTCTACGTACCGTAGCCATTACTTTGATTTCAGTGTTTTCATTTCGATTGCTCGTACTTCTATGTCTTCCATAAATAAGTTGGCTATTGCTGGTAGTGATGCCGCGAGACGAGACGAGACGAGAAAAGTTCTTCTCTCGTCTCGTCTCGTGCAGCGAGAGAAAATGGGTCTCTCGTCTCGTCGAGAATACTCTTTTCTCGCTCGAGAGTGCCTTTCTCTCGTCTCGTCTCGTTTCTCTCGTGGTAAAAGTACCTATGTATGAATACAAAAATTATTTGCAATGAAATACGAATTGGTTTATATTTTTTCTATAGAAATTTAAACTGGAAATAAAAAAAATGTGCCAAGGCCAAACTGATAAAGTAAGACTTTTTACGCCGAAAATGTCGCACATTTAAATCAAATGGTTGGATCTATGTGGAGTAGTTACATCTAGTAACCCTGATAGCAAAATTTGATTCTAAGAATCTTCTAAGAAGATATGACCCGGAATAATGGAATATTCTTAGAACCTTCCCTTATTGCTATTGAATGTTCTTAGGGACTTTTAAAACATTCAATAGATACCCTTTTAATGATGCAATTAGATTCTTAGAAGTTTCTTAAAACCTTCCTAAAAAGCATTCTAAGAACATTTTAAGAATACGTTTTTGGAATGTTCTTAGAAGGTTTCTTATGGAGCTTCTAGGAAGCTTTTGAGAATATTTCCAAATATGTCAGATACCCACGTTCTAATATGTTGAATTCTACATTCGTAAAATTCTTCAGGAGGCGACAAATATGCCTCACTGTCATAATATGGCAGTGAAATGTATTTGTTGTCCCCTTAAAAAATTTTGCGACATATTAATATATATTTATTTAAAAATATTAAATAAACAATTTGACCTCTAAACCATAAGTTGTATGACATTATTTCATAAAAAGTAAAATTGTAAAATTTTGTGGGATAAGTCGGATTAGATTGAAGTTGAAGATAGTTAGGATTATTATACATAAAAATGTTAATTCAGATATTTTTAGCAATTACTTTCTCAAAATTCTAAGCATATGTTTAGAGTGGATTAATTTTCACCACTAAACTTTGCACCTTCTAAGAACCTGCCTATAGGCCAGTGAGAATATTCTTATTATGCTATATTTCTTTTAAGCATGTTCTGCTATATTTCTTTTAAGCATGTTCTTTAGAAGAAATATAGCATGATCCTAAGAATATTCTCACTGGAAGGTTTAAAAAACATTCTTAGAACATGACTATAAGAAATATAGCATGATCCTAAGAATATTCTCACTGGAAGGTTTAAAAAACATTCTTAGAACATGACTAGAAGAAATATAGCATGATCCTAAGAATATTTCCACTGAAAGGTTTAAAAAACATTCTTAGAATAAACTGTGCTATCAGGGATATATTATAGGCGCAGTAGTTTTCAGATGGATGGATAAAATCATCCATTGATCTGAAAACTACTGCGCCT